ACTGTTACCAGATTGTCTAAGGAGAGAAGGTGGGGTGCTAATGCTAGGAAGAAAGAGAGACAGACAGACAAACAGACAGAGAGAGAACCTCTAAACTCCTCCTAAAGCACTTCATAGGGAAAAATAAGAATAAAGTTGTTTCTGAAATCCTTTCTTCCCAAAGCACTTTGTGATAACAGAGCATGATCTGTTGTGACATTAGCTTTTATGGAGCTAAATTCCACTTTATCTGATGGATGATGTGTGTCAGGGAAATATACTGTTGTGGGTTTCCCCTCTGAATACTGGGTTCAGTCTACCCTACAGAACAAAAGGAATGGTCATGTGTCTTAATGACCAACCCAACATAGGTATCTCCTTGATGGGCCTTGAGAGTCAAGAAATGGTTTTGTTCAAGTGCTCATCACAGTTTGGAAAATGTGTGCTTCTTGCCTATCTAAAGGGAAGCAGCAGAGGGGGGTCCGTGTGAAAAGGAAGCACCATTTTAGATACCAAAAAGGACAGACAGAGAAGTTGCTTAGAATTGCCTGAAGCACCTGGGGGTACAGAATCTCTCTCTCTCTCTCTCGATTTGATGTAGTGGTGTATATGTGTATACAAAGCAAATATTACAAAAATGCCGCAAAAATGCCTAGTTCCAAGGACTTCTCACAACTCAGGGCAATAACACACATTGCTACAGAGAATAGAGTTGTAAATCACTCTACAGGGAGCACACATTCATGTCATATACCACTGGATCATTACTGCACTTGCATGAATCCCACTGAGTTTAAAACAATTGTGTGTATAGTGGGCAACACAGCCCCCCTGACTGATGCCAAAGTATTTCATGTCAAGGCAATGTGCACATGACTTGGCACGGCATTCACACACGGAACCTGATTTAAAGGGTATCTTCACTAAGGAAACTCTGTTTTGTTGATTATGTCAACAGAGGAGTCTACTACCTATGCCTGCTAGTAATTCCATTTTATACATCTCATGAAGCAGACTGCAGCCTAAACTCTACAATTTGAAAATAATGTTACACTCTATACTCTCACTGTTCCATTTCCCAAAATCAGAGGAAGATACAAGTATGAGCAGACAACATTTTTAGGGATAGATACACTTATTTATTTATTTGTTTATATTTATTTATTTTTAGATTTATATCCCGCTTTCCCTATTGGGGGAGGCATTAGGATTATGCTCACCACCTCTCTTGCTGGAATCATCAGCAGGCTGTCGAGGCTTATCTGTGAACAGCTCCTTCCGACCTCTGGAAAAGCCTTCAACCCCGGGGTTGTGGCTAGCTGCCTGCCAGGCTGCGGGCTGGTCCCAAGCGCGGAGATGAGAAGGGCGTCGAGGCAGACTCCAATCTTCCTTCTGTGCACCATGAGGGTCTGTAGAGCCAGCAAACAGCCAGTCGTCTGCGCTTCTGCCGTGCTCCACCTCTCTCTGGTATAGAGGGGCTCTCCTTGGACGCACAACCGGTTCTCCAGCGTCAGCAGCATCCCAGAATTCATCCTGGTCCCTCACGTCATCCACAGTGAGCAGAGATGCATTGTCCATGCTGAAGGAATCACCTCCCTCAGCCATAGCAGCAAAATCTCTATCTACCACTATAGTAAAATAAGAAAACTCCTCCCTAGCCTGAGCAAGCTCTGCACACAGGGCAAAAATACCCAGATGATGACATTTGACTCCAGTTCATACATCCCCACGCTAAAGCCACCATGTCATGATCCTGTCTTTCCCCCAGACCAATCCAGGACTGTGAAAGGAAAGGATCATGGACTGAGACAAAGTATTTTACACAAAAACCCAAGAGAGGTAGTCTCTCTATGGATTTACAGACACGTGCCACCAGAACCTTCCACTATGATCCCCTTCCAGTCCAAGAGGAGGCTCAGACTCTTGACTGGCTTTTGGGACTTATCACAAGAATATTCTTAGCAAGGTAGCAACAGTTGGCAAAGCAGTTCAAGCACAGGATTTAAGGCTTGGAGTCAAAGGTACATCCATCAGACACAGTATTAAAACAGAATAAAGTTTATTAGCAGAAACTTGTAATCAGACCATAGGAGATTAGAAAAATAAGAAAGGCTATGCAAGTTTGTTGCCTAACTATACAATAGGGTATATTTACCAACAAGAAGAAGGGTCAATAGTCCAAGGCGGTCCATTTTAACAAAGTCCACTTAAGTTTCATCTTTGTGCCAGTATGCAGCCATGTGTTGAGCTGCAACCCAGGATCCTTTGTCTGCCAGCCACATGGCAGAAACAAAGCATGTCAGAATAAGTCCACAGACAGTAGATAGCAAGAACAGATTTGCAAGCAGAAAATCTGAGCTCATGTCTTTGTTTTCAGACTAATAAGGGCCAATTTCAGGATTCAAATGACCCGGGCCAGGAGCCAATGAACACGATCTGAAATTGTCCAAGTGTCTTGAGTGGTCAGTAGTATTGAAGCCACACCTGCAGAATGTGATCCCAAGCTCTAACCACTCCCTCTAACCACTCCTCCATGTGGTACGTGACTCCTGGCAGCTAGGCCTAACTAGGCTCCAGTAGGTCTGCCAGAAGTGTGAAACATGTGTCGTTATATGGCATGGCAATTGAGCAAATGGTCAGGCATAGGAAGCTAGAACACCAGGAGGTGAGAGCAAAAGGCATTCCAAGGGGAAACATGATGCTACATAACATTCAAAGGGAGACATGAGGCCTACAGGAATTAATATTTCTATACAAGGAGCACCCCCAAACTCCTAACCTCCCGCACAGGCACCAACGGCACCCCACCGAAGGCCGGGAGCGGGAGCCCCAACCCCAAACCAGTCCGACTCAGACCCAGGACCTCCGTCTTTGCCAGGTTTAATTTCAGCCTACTCAGTCTGAGCCAACCAGCCACAGCTTGTAATGCCCAATGAAGGTCATCGGGACCAGAGTCTGACTGGCCGCCTAGCATCAGATAGAGCTGGGTATCATCAGCATATTGATGACACCCAAGCCCACCCCTCTGGGCAATCTGGGCGAGGGAGCGCATATAGATTTTAAACAACATAGGGGATGACACAGCTCCCTGGGGCACCCCACACTCAAGGGAATGCCTTCGGGACCACTGGTCCCCAATCGCCACCCTCTGTCCCCGACCTTGGAGAAAAGAGGCAAACCACTGAAGAGCAAGCCCCTGAATCCCCACGTCGACGAGGCGGCGGGCCAGCAGCTGGCGGTCGACTGTGTCAAACACAGCCAACAGATCTAACAACACAAGTGCCGCCACACCACCTCGATCCAGATGCCTACAGAGATTGTCCATCAGAGCGACAAGCACCATCTCCGTCGCATGACCCGGGCAAAAAACGGACTGGAAGGGATCAAGGATGGAAGCTTCATTCTATTGCACCATAGCTTCATTCTATTGCACGATAGACTTCATTCTATTGCACCATCACACAATGTAAACAAAATCTTATTATTTTTTTTGAGTTAAGACAATCATATAGTTACATAACAATAAGGGATCTCTCCCCACATCTTTCAGGTTTATGTTTAAAATAACAGTGGAAAACACAATGCCAATATCAAATTATTTCTGGCCTGAAACAAGTCCAGCATATTTTAACAAATTGTACTTTGCAAGAAGAAAATTGCGCTGACCCACCTTCAGTTATCTTATAATTAGGGCACAAGTTGGGTCTACAGCCTTAAATCATCATGAAACTTAAAGGCTACAACTGTGAGAAATATGTAACAAAAGAGATTCCAACCAAAAGCCCATTTGATGTAATGGGAACTATTTCAGATTTTTATTTTAAAATCCCCTAGGGGAGTATGTTGGTGAAATTGCAAGTTTTAGTGCTGAAAGACTATCATCTGTAGTGCCTTCATGAGAATGGGGGGAAATATCCCAATGAATTGAGTACAAGAATAACTCTGTGTAGCATCTTGCTTTTATAAAAGTGTGTGTGTGTGTGAATCTATATATAACCCAGCCTTAATGGCCACACACTCCCTTTTCTGTTCATCTGTTCAATATGGTCAGGGATTATTAAATGATGCTAATGCTTTTGTCAGTGGACATTACAACTTGCACACTGAGCTGTTTAAATGCATATGTTTCATTGCTTTTCTATTGGTACTGTACTAAAACACACCCCATCTCTAGAAACGCACACACACATACTATGTACAGGAAACCAAATGGTTTATAATATTTAATTTACACACTGTGTCAAAAGATGCATACCCCATGAAGTGTTGTCACTCATATATCCCAAAAATATACCAACGGAAAAATACAGAACGATGCCTGCTCCATTTTAAAGAGGAATCCACTGTCAAAAGTGCCCATGCTTGTCATTTCCTCTGGCTGAAACATTATCATGTGGCCATTATCAGCAGCAGAATGCTACCCACCAGTATGTGACTAACACATGCTTTAGAGGGGAGAAATAATAGGGGGAGGGGGAGGTGTTTTGGGTTGTTTTTTTTGAAAGAATTGGGGATTTCATAATGCCCTGGCCAAAAGAGAAAAAGAAACCTGAGGACACACTCCAGCAGCGGTCTTTAGAAAATGGCTCTGGAGGAAGGAGTAGGGTTTCTCCGGTATGAAGAGGTGCCCCAGTAGTGGTGGGTACCCCTGAAGCCCAGAGTGAGCTGCCTCTTAAGGAAAGCGGGAGTGATCAGAGAACTAAGAAGTCACTGCAGATGGGGAGTGGCAAGGGGGGGGGGGACACAGCCATGTAAGAATTGCCCCAAACTGGACCGCCATCCTTCCCCGCCCCCCTCCCGCTGATTCTCCCCTTTGCCATGCAGTGCTCCTCAGTATTCTCCGGCCCTCTTGCAGGACACCCTCTCAACAAGTTGAAACCCGAAAGGGTTTTTTGGTGCACTGTTTTCAGAAGGCATCCCCTGAACGGCGTCCTCTATGGGGGGGGGGGGCGGTCAGAGAAAGGGGAGACCACAGTGAGTGAGTGGCAGGGAAGCAGCCGCGGAGGCTGGCCAAGGCTTACCACCAAGACGGGCACCCCCGCCGCCAGGGAGTAGAGGAGCACGGGGGGGACGGCGCTGCTCTCCTCCGGGCCCGGGTAAGGCTTGCGGTAGGCGCTCTCGTAGCAGAAGAAGCCCTGCACGTTGACGGCGAAGGTGTCGGTGTACTCGAAGTAATAAGCCAGCATCACAGTCCCTGCCATGATCACCATCTGGAAGTAAAGCATGCTGGTGAGGCGGAGGAGGAGAAGCAGAGGCGGCGGAGAGGGCACTGGCATGTACTCCGGCGGCCGCGGCAGCCCCCCGCCCCGGCTGCGCGCTCCGCCCGCTTCCCGGCGGCATCCACCGGCGAAGAAGGAGGCGGCGAGTCCCGAGCAGCGGCAGGAGCTGGAGGAGGGAGAGGAGGGAGGGGAGGGGAGGGGGAGGGGGAG